CCAAACCCTAAATAGCAGCTTCCGTGTTCTAATCCTTTATCCGAAATTCCCCATATTATATCACTATATTATATAACCTGCTACAAGAAGGCTTGGTTTTGGCTAAGCATCTGCATGTGTGCCCTACACTTTGTCTCTTAAGCCCCATACAAGTGAAGTTTACCGTGGTCCTGAAATGTACACCCAAGTTCTACAGTGCTCCCTCAAGTGTATAGATCATATACCCACAACGGCTCTTTAGAGTGACATGCCCCAGTAGAATCACTACAACCCCTTCACGGAGCCCTTCAACAAAGCCCTTATATGCACCAACAGGTACATTGGGCCATCTGCTGCCGCAGAGTCTAGGGTTTAGGGTTTAGGATTTAGGGTTTAGGGTGAAGCAACCCTGAACCCAAAACCCTTCCTCTCCGCCGCCATCCACGTCGAGGAGTTTGAAGAAGGTCCATGCATCCCAGATGTCCTTCGCAAGCTTGCAGAGTTCAGAGTCAGGGTACATGGTGGCTACATGATTTCATATTGGAATTATTTTAAGGGTTTAGGGGATTTTTGGGTGGTTATATGATGTTATATGGGGGATTATAGGATGCGATATAGGGAAAAGATGATGCTAGATATTATACAGTAATACAAAGTATATATATATATATACACACCGTTGTATGGGGACATTATCCAGGCTACGTAATGACCTTACGAGACACCATTGTTATCTATAACAACATCAAAAATCTAAGACAGTCCCCGGATGCTGCTTGAGCTTTTTGCTACCTACGCTCAGAATCTGGAACCCTAGACCCGTAACCTTAAACCCTAAAACCTTAAACCCTAAACCCTTAAACCCTTAAACCCTAACCCCTTGAACCCTCAAACCCTTAAACCCTAAACCCTTAAACCTAAAACCCTTAAACCCTAAATCTTTAGCCCTTAAACTCTAAACCGAGGTCTTACATGTGCGCGGTAGGCATGTCGACAATCTTGTGGGGTGTGTAATTAATGGCAAGCTATAGCCAAAGGGTTTAGGGTTTAGGTTTTAGGGTTTAAGGTTTGGGGTTTAGGGTTTGCAGTTAAGGTTTTAGGGTTTAGGATGGTTTACCTAAACCCTCCAATGTAGTACCTTTTTGGTAGTCCTAATAAGAGTCCTACCCCAAAAACCATACCAAACCCAAAAAGGAACTACATGCAGGGTCTTGGTAGGGTTTGGGGCTACCTGAACCCCAAAATAATATCCCTAAACCCCTAACAATAGCCATAAAGGCCATTATTTTACATACTTTTGGGGCTCAGGTAGGATGGTTTCGGGTTTGGGGTTTAGGGTTCGGGGTTTGGGCTTTGAGCCTCACTTGGCGCAGAACAGATCATTGGGTCCCAAGGAGCACTCTACAGATGCAGGTGCCATGTTATCCACTACGTGGCACTTAGGACCCCTACTAAGGCTTAACCCTTAATTACCTATAATAGGAATATAAGGGAATCCTAAAGGGTTAAGGGTCCAAGGTCCAAGCTAAGTCCCAAGGAGTCCAGTCAGGACACCCAAAAATTCCACACAGCGCCACTAAATCTCCATGACACCACTCCTGCACAATCGTTACTGCGAGGGTCCGCGTGGGGCTTAGCAAGTACATTTAAATGTATAACATATAAAGCCATATAACCCAAGCCATCCCCGTTATAAGTCTACTTACTAACTCCCCCTGACCCTCTCAGCATAGGGTGCCTATGGAATCCGTGCGATATATGGTGGTTTCCCTGGATAGGGGGGCTCCAACATCTACCCCCAAATACGCTAATCCTTTTTCTAGGGACCCCCAACATGGTACCCAAAAAATGGTGAAAACCCCCAAATCCCCTCTTGCTGGGAAGCACACCAAATCTGAGCCCTGGTAGTACGTATAACGGCTAGCCAAACCTCCCAGATACCCATAACAACAGCCAGTGCACCCTAATTTGGTGGAATTTAATGCCGCGGGCCCTCAAACTGTAAAAGTACGAGAGTTCTATTTGAAAAAAATGGTTCATCATTTCATTTTGGTAAAACCCAACACCTGTGGAGAACCCGGTAAAAGTGTTGCTGTTGCACCAGGAAACAAAACTTTAAGTATCAACATGCCCGCACCTTAAATCTCCCGAACCCAAAGTTCTGAAGGGTGCACGGTTTAGGGTCTGCTCCTGTAACCTAACCCGCAAACCCCAAACACACACAAACCCCTGAAAGCCCACTCACCCCCTAAACCCTAAAGCCCTCTAGAGCTTAAACCCTCAAGCGTCCTAAAGCCTAAACCCTGAAACCTCCTAGATCTAACCCCTAAACCCTAAATCCTAAACTCGAAATCCTAAACCCTGAATCCCTAAGCTCTGAGACCCCCTGAACCCTAAAATCCAGCCGAGAATTCAAGGCCCATGGCCGAGAAGTACTCCCGCACCTGGGGGTTGTGTTACTGTTAGGCAACACCATGGTTTAATGGTTTAGGGTTTTTGGTTTTGGATCCAGGGTTTAGGGTTTTTTGTTTAGGATCCAGGTCTTTGGGTTTAGGGCTCTGGGTTTAGGATTCCATGTTTCACATAAAACCCCTACTAACCCTAGACCCTAAAGCCTATTTTTTAGGGTTTAGGGTTTCGGGTTTAGGTGATTTAGCCGAAGAAATGTATGTGTGGAGTTTCTCACAGCTAACCCTGTGTAGTCCCTGACAGGATCCTGCATTATCCCTATACGTCCCCAGGGTCGCATATTCGTCTTATAATTATAGTGCAACCAAAAGGGGGACTGGGGATTGCAGTATCCCCCTTCGGACGCGACTCGCCTCGAGATTTGAATGTAAACTATCGCAAAAAAAAACACTCTCACCCCTTCAGGGGGACGGTTGTGCATAGGCTTAGGGTTTGTAGGGGCTTAACCGAACCTTGAACCTCCAACCCCAAACCCTGATCAAATCTCTGAAGCCCAAACTGGAAACCCCAACCCCTACCTACCTAAGCCGAATCAGCCTTTGGAGGTATGTTTTCTGCTTTTGTGGGCTTAAAAGTATGGGTTCCATGGGTTTACTACAAAAACTTCTGCATGACCCTCAGTAGCCTCCACCTGCAGGATGTCTAGTATGAAACGCAAGGTCCAAGCAACCCTAAACCTTGAACTCTACACCCTGAACAAGCCTTAACTCTAAACCCTATGCTAACTCCAAGCAACTTAGACCCTAAACCCCAAGCCCTAAGCCCAAACACTAAACCTAAAATAGTAGCTTTCATGATCTTTTCCATTCCTTGCCTCCCTAATCCCCTAAAGAGGACCTAAACCCTAAACCCCTAGTCCCCTACAGCCAAATCCCTAAGCTACCTCCGGCGAGTTGATCTTCTCCTCAAACATTGCAAAGGTAATGCCAGAAGTTTCCTGTGACGCGCCGTGGGGTTTAGGTTTTAAAGTTTAGGGTTAAGGGTTAGGGAAGTCTTTTTTGCTGTTTGTAAGCTTGAGGGTGTAGGGCTTCGCGGCGCGTCCAGTGAGAAAGGCTTACACCACCTTAGAGCCCTACAGCTCCAACGTTCCCACGCTATAGGCTACAGAGGCATTTAAGCTGGTGCAGGCTTTCCTCCACCCATGATGGTGTAGGTCTTAGAGTTCAGGGCTTTGGAGCTTCAGGTTTGGGGTTCTGGCGTTTGTGTGGGGGTGGGAGCGTTCAGGACTTAGAATTTCGGTTGGAAAGAGCTAGGCCTTCGATGTGGTTTAGGGCTGAAGGTGTACCAGGTGTTTTCCAGGTAATTGTGCTTAATGCTGGGTTTTGTTGCGATCTCATGGCTTGGTTTCTAGCATGGAAGCCCAACAGGAGCCTGGAAGAAAGACTGCAGCCTTTTAGGTCGACTACATGAGGTTCCTTGTCCGTTCGGGGCAAGGGTAGGCCCCTGCACGCCCCAAGGAATTTGCAGGGAAACCTGAGAGTTTCTCGAACCAGCTCCCAGGAAAACGACAAAACTTACAACCCCCTTGCAGCCCGCGCGTGTGTAAGCCTGAGAACCCAACAGACCCCTACCCTCAGCCTTAAGCCCTAAACCCTACACCCTAATGGGGGCGTCCACCTCAACAATACCCTAAATCCTAAATCCTACACCTTTATTCCTGAACTCTGGACCCCAACTCCCAAGCCTTAAGCCCTGAACCGTAGCTTCCATTTTCATTTTTCATTCAAAGCCCTAAACCCTAAACCCTGAACCCTATAGTAGCCTCCATTTTCGTTCACCTCACACCCTAAACCCTAAACCTAAACACTTAGCCCTAAGCAAGTAATTTGGCAAGTCGCGTCCGCAGCCCCCAGCTGGTTGAACAGCTGACCAACCTTCCTTTTGGCATTGCAGTGTGCGGCTTTATAGGGGTTATCTAGGGTTATAGCGGGGGTTGTATAGGGGTTATAGAGGGTTTATATAGGGTTATATAAGGGGTTATATAGGGATATATAGGGTTATATCAGGGTAGTATAAGGGTTATGCTGGGGTTATATGAGGGTGATATGGGGGTTATATAGGGTTATATAGGGGTTATGTAGGGTTATATAGGGGTTATACTGTATAAGGGTTATATAGAGGTTATAAAGGGTGATATATGGGGTATATAGGGATAATGGAAAAGAAAATGGAAGCTGCTATCTAGGGTTTAGGGTTTTGGCCTTGCGGTTCAGAGTTTAAGCTTCAAGGCTCAGAGTTTAGGGCTTGGGGCTTAGGGTTTAGGGCTTGGAGTTTGGGGTTTAGGGCTTTGGGTTTAGGGTGTCTCCACATACCGTAGAGGCCTGAATAATTCCCAACATTATTCCCATGTAACGCTTACGTACCTATAGTGGTCGGAAGCCCATCGGACTTCTTCACCAGCCATGACTAAGGTGGCAATCCTTCTTGCACCCTCAGAACTTGCCTTTTCTAGGTTGTCCTGACCAAAAATGAGAAGCCAAAATCCAGGTACTTAGTAAATCCCATGAACCGTCCAGTAGGGCAGCGTATGATAGGATCTAGAGATGCTAGCTGAGGCACCTGCAGTTGCTGAGCTGCTCATATTAAGAAGGAGGGTATAAGGACTAAGATCACTTCATGTCACTGCTTGTGGTAAAGTCCACCTCGAAGCCCTCTTTTAGTTCTGTGCGCATTTGATTGCCCGACGTGGTGCAGTTACCTGCACAAGATGAGTCGCAAAAGATTCTTAACCCTAAACCCTGAACTAAAGAACACATGGGTGAACATACGCACTGTTGAGACCCCTTGAAGCCTAGGTTCCCCAGCAACCCTAGATAACATGTCACCCGTTTTCCTAATATTCAGCTTTACAAGGGACACCCCAAAATAAAAGGGAAAAAACGTACTACTATTACGGGGACCTAGAAACTTACTGAGATTTCGTGAGGCCTAGGTCCTTCAGCTCTCCCATTCCCCTGCGCAGGTTCCCTAACAATAAGGCGCTGCTCTAATTTGGCTTTTTGTGGGCCTCTTGTGAAGTAGGGCCTCTCGCGAAATAAGGTCCAATCTCTATAGTTTACCCTCGGCGCCCTCATCCAATCCCTGAAGCCCCCATACCCCAAATCCCACGCCTCTTGTGCAATGTGTCTCGTGTGAAACAGTGAAGCCCTAAACGCGAAACCGAAACCCTAACCTTCGACACTAAACCCTGACGTGGAACTCCCGACATGACCACAGGATTGTGAATGTTATCCTGCGCCACGCGGTTCAAGGTTTGGGGTTCAGGGTTTAGGCACGTCATGAGTCGCTGTTCGGGAGCTTCGAAATTCATATGATAGGCGGTCAAAATTATGGTTCCTTTTTTGGGTCTCCATGATAAGTCGGCTTAAAATTTAGGGGACCCAGAAAAGGACCAGAGTTTCGACAACCTACCATATGACATGAACCTCCGTTGCACTTTTACTCCAAGCCACATGAAAGTTCAGATACACGAACCAACCTGACTGCTTTGCAAAAACTCCTGCTATATACTCCCCAACTTACCATCGACAGGCCCCCAACAGTCAGCACAAAGATGGATTTGGAGGTTGTCAAAAATATGGTCCCTTTTTGGGTCCCTGTTATAATACGGCACCTAATATTTAGGGTACTCAAAAAGGGACCATAATTTTGACAACCACCCATTTGGGGGGTGCGTTTCCCAATGTAGACTTGCAGCCCTAGAGCCCCCCCCTAAATCCTGAAGCCCGCAACCTAATTGTTCACAACAACCTGGACCCCCAAAGTATGTACAAAAATGGTCTTTATGGCTGTTATTCTGGGTTTAGGGCTATTATTCTACATACTTTTGGGGTTTAGGAAGCCCCAAACCCTCAACCCTCAGCTCCTAAACCCTCAATCCAACATCCAAAACCCTGAACCCTACACCCCTAAACCCTGAACCCTAAAACTCTACACCCTACACCCCTAAACCCTACACCTCTGAGTCCAGATCCCGTATCCTTTCTCTGCCTAGCATCTGCTTATGCGCCTCCTTATTCCTCGGTCGTTGGATTTTTGGAGTTTGCTTCGGGTTCAAGCTTTAGGGTTTAGGGGTTTAGGGTTTAGGGGTTGAAGGCAGGCAAGGGACTAAGGATGATCAACTCAGAATTCCAGTGATAACTGAACCCAAAACGCTCGGCGGTTGTATGCTGGCTCACCTGGGTTGTTGTTAAGGAACTTAAATTAAGCTACCATAATGACTATGTATAGTAATTAATATGGCTCCCCCATTATAGCAACTTAAATTAAGTTCCTAAACCCTAAACCCTATGTAGTCTTAAACCCTAAACCATCTCTCTCTCTCTCTCTCTCTATATATATACATATCCCCTACAACCACCCTTTTGGTTTTTTGAACTCAATAGAGCAACTTAAATTAAACTCCTTAACAGCAACCCAGTCATCTCGGAGCTTCGTAACATAATTCCTCGTTCTTCCGGGGACCTGGTTTTAGGGTTTAGGGTTTAGGGGTTGGGGGGCGGGATTTGGAAGGTTTAGGGTTTAGGGAGTGGGGTTTGGAAGGTTTCGGGTTTAGGGGGTGGGGTTTGGAAGGTTTAGGATTTAGATAATTTTATACTGGCCTATAGCTCAGGGCCCTCTGCAAGCCTATCATAGACCACCCTCCTAATATTTGCATAGTACCCCGTCTCACAGAGATGTAAACCGCTGCCCTCGTACCATTAAATATCCGAACATAGTGTAATGTAGCAGCCGCATAACTAGGCCCCTAGATTATCTTGATGTTAGGCGATAGAGCCTGAAGCTCTCACCCGAAAAGCAAGATCACAGTTGAGGGTTGCTAAGACCACCCAAGCACCCGCACTAAAAACCGATATACCCATGTTGTGGGCTTACAGCCTTTTGTTATGGGAATTTGGGAACTCGAACTGGAGTGACGTTATAGTCTCAAAAGGTCACGGTAGGGGTTTATTAATAATGGGTCTACATTCCCAATCCTCAACCCCTAAACCCTAAACCCTAAACCCTAAACCGCGTAACAGCAAACATGCGTGAAAGAACCCGAGGGTCCGAAGTCCGAAAACCGAACAAGGCCTCCTGAGTTGAGGACATCCCCAAATTAAGGTTTAGGGTTTAGGGTTTAGGGCTTAGGGTTTAGGGTTTAGGGGTACCATTTTTGGAGATCCCTCTACTAAGGATATTTTGGGGGATCTATGATTGGGGTCCCCGTATTTTGGGAATCTACCATTTGTCCTCGTGCCCCTCCGAGAGTTTAAAAAGATGGCTCCGTGCCGGCCAGGCACGCTAGAATCGACTGGACGATGTTGACATGATCGTTCTGTGCGCTCTCGATGGCACTTTGGCAGAACCTTAGGAACTCAAGCCTCCAAGAGTGGTTTAGGGTTTAAGGTTTAGAGTTTAAGATTTAGGGTTTAAGGTCTAGAGTTTAAGGTTTAGAGTTTAAGGTTTAGGGTTTAGGGTTTAAGGTTTAGGGTCTAGGGCTTAGATGAAGACAGCCCTCCTAGTTGCCTATTCGGGTTGGGTGTCTCTTGATAAAGACCCTCAGGAGATATGGTGGTTTCTCAAAATGGGGGGACCCCAATATGGATCTCCAAAATACATACTAATCCTCATTAAATTATTATGGGGACCCAAAAAGGCACCCCTAATTTTGGGAAACCCCCCTATACTATCTCCAGAAAGGGCCCCCAAGAAGGAATTCGAGTTTTTGTGATTCCGCGCTACAGCTGGAGTCTGACCGTGACATCGCAAATCCCTGCCCCGGCCCCTAAACCATGGGGAATAGCGGAATATATTCTATAGGGTTGTATGGGGATCATATTCTCTTACTCCCCACTATAACCCCGGTACATACTATAATTATAATACACCGCCCCTGAACCATGGTGGAACCACGAACAAGAGTTCGGTCAGGATGAGAGTCCTTGGAAAGGGGGGTTACGTGAGCCAGATTTTCCCTATTAAGTTAATGGACATGGGTTTCTACTGAAGTATAAGGGAGTATATTCGGGACTATACTCAACTACGAAGAGGACCGCCATGTCCACCTTTACTGGTCCCTCGTGAACCATGATATTGACAGCACGAATAGCTCACACATGGGGTTGCATGTTAGCTCGGAGGAGGGGGATCTTGCACAGAACAAACAATCATACCGTCAGGGCATGCCATGTTTCCGCTTAGGTGCTTCGCAGACTCAATGATTAGGCCTGTTATCCCCTCTCAACAAGTGCCATGACCCCATGACACCTATTTTGGTGATCGACTTATTACGTCGTCCCCAACATGCGAGCGCTAGAGGGCCGAGGAGGTTGAGGGTACCCTGCACTGGTATCGGACGGTCTTTTGCTCCACAAGCCCAGAGAACCCAAACATGTTGATTTAGGAGTGCGCCCTAAATGATACTAGGGACCCCAATATGAGCTATAGTCTAAACTCCTAGAACCCCCATAGTAGTACCCTATATAATCCCCTATATTATATAATCCCCTTTAAGGAGCTTAGACTATAGCTCATATGGTCTAAGGTACATTCTTGAATTAAGGCCACTACTTAGGGGCAGGGGGCTCCCTGGAATCCTCACTTGCAGTATGCTGGCCCCTCAACTCCTTTAGCTACCCGTGATCATCGGGATGATGCTGGGTCAGTCTATCCGGGCAAGTAACCGACCAACTCAAATTGGGATGTCCGGTAACGCTGCATCGTTTGGTTGCGGTCGCTCTGGTGTGTAAGAAGCCCAGATAACTTCCAGCTTAAGAGGTCAGGGGGGTCTCTCCCGTGCATATCCCCCAGTATCCAAGAAGAGCTCGGCAGAAGATGTTCTTAGCATCGCGGTTGCTATGGTGAACTTGGAACCCTAGTAAGCTGTTCCTGAGGGTTATAATAAGCAAAAAGTAAAAATATGTCCAAGCACCCCTGAGGTTATGATGTCGGCAGGGTGACGGCGATCGTGACATCTTGTGTTCAGACATTGACATCGTAGCTTGAACTGCTTCGCAATTTCTGCTACATATCAGCCCCTGGGATGATCTAGAAAGACGAACCCCCAATATGGTACGCTAAACTACTATTGGGTGATGTCTGGGAACCCTGAACTGGGATCTACTTTCTAGCTCCAAAGCCCTAAACCCCCAAAACCTTACACCTCACCCCCTATACCCACAACCCTATACCCCTAAACCCCATACAACCCGTACGGGGGATCTGAGATCTGCTTTCCCCTATGGGTCCAAGGACTCAAACAATAGGGTTTTAGGGCCCAAATACCATAATATGAATGGTATTTGGGCCCTGAAACCCTATTATTTGGGTCATTAGACCCTTTAGGTTCTAGATCCGCCTAGGGATCTGGCTTCCAGGAATGGCCCAAGTTCTGGACGGGGCCTGTAACTCCCTTGTCGAACGAAGGCTATGCGGACCCATCCTGATTACCTGGACCCCAAAAGTATGTAAAGTAATGGCCTTTATGGCCATTATTAGAGGGAAAAGGGCTATTATTTTACATACTTTTGGAGTTTAGGTAAGGGTTTAGGAGGGGGCCGCGCATCATCTAACATTGAGCCCTAAACCCTCAACCGTCCCTCACAAGTTCCATGGATGGCAGGGAGTTGGTCTGAAGTCTTCAGGAGATCTAATTTCGAGATTTTTCCGAGGCTGGGGTATGTGCATTCGGGCAAAACAAGCTCCAAGGTCTATATACTAGTGTATGGTATTTTCCTTGAATAGGGCGACCCCAATACAGACAGCCAAATACTATAGTCCTTACTATAAAGACCCCCAAAAGGTCTCTCCCGACTTTGGGGAAACCTCCATATAACCTACCCATGATCACTTGGGGGGTCAGGGGGACTTAGTAAGTAGGTTGATAATGGGGATAAATGGGTTTACTATATGGGTTATAGAGGCTATAAGCCTACTTACTAAGTCTCCCTGACCCTTCAAGCAGGGGGGATTATAAAAGGAGTGTTGGCGGGATCCACGCCCCGACTCTCAAAAGGCGTGCGAAGCATGAGGGTTGAAGTAGTTTAAGGTCTTACCTGAACCCTGAAGGTATGCAAAGTAAAACAAACTTTACCCCGAAGCTTGGCCACACCCTGAAAGAGCTTCTCTAGGCCTGGTTCGATCTGGCTGAACACCTCTGGAGGAAGAGAGCCCCGAGCTCTTGACCCAAGCTTTCCGTTCATAAGGTTAGATGGCCTGACCGGGCTTGGCCAAGATCCCCATGTTTTCGCAGTAGCCCAGCCTAGTTCTTTCTGAAGAACCTGGCCTTTGACGAACCTCCAGGCCGACAACTCTGCGCCCTTTTTTTTGTTGGCGTACTCCACGTCTACCGCCCCGGCCGCCACGTCGTCCCCTGGAACTTGATATGGGTCGCCAGCCCAAGGCGTCTTTTGCCACAATTTTCCTGACATTCTGTGCACAAGCCCCTAACCTCTGTACCCCCACCACCAGTCGCACAGCGGTATGAATGCTTCTTAGGCGCTGACAAGATGAAGAAAACATGGGCAAGGGTATGCATAGAAAACCATGATGCAGTATAACGTCACAATAAACAACGACCACAAGGACGCTAGGAGCTACTGGCAACAGATACTCAATTATCCACATTGAAGTTTCCCCAGGCGGTTCCCCTACAATCCTGGCAGAGAACCCCTGAGATCCGCATGATCTCCCCATGTATCTCACGGTCCCCCAAAGCCCCCTTTCAGGGGGTTTAGGGCTTATATAGGGTTTAGGGTTACCCTAAACCCAACCCTAAACCCTGAACCCATAACCCTAAACCCTACGACCTCCCCCCGGAGATTTCTTGGTGCAACGGCAAGGCACACTGCCGTTACCACGTTCAGCCTTAGGTGGATCCAACTTACGGGGTTTTCGGGTTTAGGGTCTTAGAGTTTAGGGTTTTAGGGTTTAGGGTTTAGGGGTTTAGGGTACCTTCTGCTCGGAGGTTCGTGGGCAGTTTTGATTGGGTTACATGTGATTTAACGGGAGTGTGTGAGGATATGCGGGGGGTTTGCACTTCGCGTTGCTTATTCAGATCGTACGTAGCGAGTATTTGTGGGTTTTTCAGGGCTTGCATAGATGCATGTGGGTTCTTTCAGTCATAACAGAGGGGGACTCAAAAATCTGATTTTTGCTTCTAAAAGACACCTAAACACTACACCCTAAAATCATGGTATTTGGGGGCCAAAAACCTTGTCATGTAGGTCCATCCTCAATCCTCATGCCAGGCTCCTAAAATCTGTGAAGCAAATTCCCCAGTAGGGTTGAGGGTTTAGGCCTTAGGGTTCAGGGTTTAGGCTTGAGGGTTCAGGGTTTAGGCTTAGGGTTTAAGCTTTAGGGTTTAAGGTTCAGGGTTTAGGGCTTCGCTTCCAGAATCCTGGAGGTAAGGCAGCCTTGTGTTTGAGGATTGAGGGGTTCAGGGCGTGAGGTTTGGGGAGCCACGATCATCGGCAAAGCTAGGACAGTCCCTGCAAAGCGGTTTGATGCCTGAGTGCTGGCTGTGGGGCTACAAGCAGACTCTAATGAATGACAATCCTTGTGTACGCAAGTAAGGTTCCACAGCAACAGCAGCAAGATCCGCATTTATTCAAACTGAAGGTAATATGTGGGCAAATGATGCACTTGAAGATTCATGGGGAGTGTTTTGTAGGGTTGCTTTGTGGGTTAACGTTACATAAGCCGAATAGAGGAAACCTGAGGGGGGAATCCCATGATTGATGATCATGGTTAGGGTTTATGGGATTATAGGTTAAGGCATTAGGGTTTAGGGTTTAGGGGTTTAGGGTTAGGGTTAGGGTTTATGGGTTCATGGGCTTAGGGTTTCGCAGCCGAGGCACACTGCGAAGTAAGTGAAACAAACATACAGAAGGAAGCAGGCCACCCATATCCAGGATATTGCCTGGCCCAGGAGTCTAGGGTTTAGGGCTCAGGGAGTCATGCCCATATGAGCCACTCCTAGTATCCCCCTTAATAAACATTATAGTAATACCCTATATAACCCCCTTTAAGGAGTTCAGACTATAGCTCATATGAGTAGTGTTTTTTTGGTGGTTGAACCTAGTAAGATAATATTCCTTATATAAAAATACTATACCCCAAAAGGAGGATAGAATCTTACTCTTTATCGGGTACCATAGTATCCCCAAATACAATACTACTCATATGGGAGATTCTCAAAATGGGGGAGCTCTCACGACCCCTGGGGATATACAGATGAGAGGATTGTGTGGAGGTCACTTTTAGAAAAGGGTTATTGTAAGAGATACCATTCTACAGGGTGTCGGGTGTATGGACTGAGTACCATTAGAATTGAAAAGTTTGCATGGCCTAGTACCATTTGTATGTAAGGGCTAGATGGGGTTATATGCGGACTAGATGGGGGTTATATGAGCTATAGTCTAAGGTCCTAGTATCCCTTGTAATAACCCCCAAATAATACTCCCCAATAGAACCCCTACATAATTCCCTGGAGGGAGTTTAGACTATAGCTAATGTAGGGATTGTCCTTCTCCAATTTACCGCTTCTTCGGCACTGGTCCTGGCGATTCTTGGGTAGTGAGGGTACTTAGAAGCTGAAAGGGGCTTAGTGAGTAGGTTATAAAGAGGTTTCTAAGTATGCGAACCCCAATTAGGGGACTTGTAATCCCCTTCACACCCTAATGGCAAAATCCCCGGAGCCTAGGAGGAGGCATACAGGTACAAATACCTGCATAAGTCTAGGCAGTCTAGCTATGCTACTCAGGACCCCAAAAGCGTGAACCAAAAAAACAAGACGAAGCCCGAAGGAAGATCGCAACTGCCAACGCGCACAGAAAAATGACTTTAGGATTCTAGCAAAGCCTCGAAGGGTACTGTACCCTCAACCCTAAACCCCAAAACACTTAAACGGTGGGATAAAGGTAGGTGGGTTAAAGGATCCTTAGTATATACTCCATTATATTGGGGCTCAGTTCCTATACCCCACCTTTTAAGACCTCTGAAGCCCTAGGTGCAGTCATGTTTGAGGCCGGTGAGATGGCCTGGAATGTATTCTACAGGACTCCGCAGCATGACACTTGAATCTTCGAACTTAGCTCCAAGCCTAACCCCTTACCCTAAACCCTAAACCCTAAACCCTGAACCCCTTAAACTCTAAAACCTGAAAACCTAAATTACTAAACCTCTCAAACGTCTTGACTACCACGCACCTCAGGGATGCCCCCGAACCTGGGGTAATTGCTCCTTACAGTACCCTGAGGGTCCAGGTACCCAATAATTAGGTACTTGGGATTTGGGTAATAGTAATTATAGTACAGGTCTTGGGTAAGTATATGATTATTGTGTACTTGGACCCTTAGGGGTACATACTTGTTGCCACAATAGGAAATTAGGAGTTGTAGTAGCCAGGGCTTAGGGTTGTGTTCAGGGTATAAGGTCCAGGGTTTAGGGCTTAGGTCAGATACTGTAGGGGGGAAGGAACCAACCCCAAACCCTAAACCCCAAACCCTAAGTCTTAAACCCCAAGCCCTGAACCCTNNCCTGAACCCTAAACCCTATTGAAATGAGTTAGGCAAAGAGTTGACCCTGCATTCCCGCCATCAGGGGGGTCACGACGTCCTCCCAGCTAACGCCACCGGCGATGCTCATGAAGAGGCTGAGCATTGTCATCAAAACGGAGCTGTAGTAACCTGGGCTTAGGACTTAGTGTTTAAGGTCTAGGGTTTGGGGTTTAGGGTTTAGGAGTTAGGGCTTAGGATTGAGGTTTTAGGATTGAGGTTTTAGGATTGAGGTTTTAGGATTTAGGTTTTAGGGTTTAGGATTTAGGGTTTGGGGTTTAGGGCTCAGAGTTCAGAGTTTAGGGTTTGGGGCTTAGGCCGTCATGACAGAAGGTCAAATATGTGCTGCATTGCAGCAGGTATGAAACTAGAAGGTAGGTTCCATGAATGGGGGGGCCCCATATGCACTATAGTCTAAACTCCTTCAAATTATAGGGCTTATTGTGGGGGATATTATGAGTTTAGACTATAGCTCACATAGACCCAAATTTATTGTAATCCTTTTAAAAAACTTCCCAAAAGTGGGTCCAAATTATTTGGAAAACTCATACCGCATTCTGTCCCAGCATTTTCCTGGCCTCTACAACTGAGTATGCTTGAAGGCTATCATACTGCGTTCTGCATTCTAAACTTAAACTCGGTTCCACGGCAACCGTTTCATAACAAGGATACCCTTTTTCTTAATGTTCAGCTTCCATAACGAGATCCCAAAATAGAAAAAAGGGTACTACTGGGGTAGGGCCCATTATAGTAGTTTCCATTTCATTTTCCATTATCCCAATATTACCGCAATATACTATAGTAAGGGTAAGATTCTTAAGGTGATCCCCTAAACCCTAAACCCTAAACCCAGTGCGAAAGTCGAGCTTGAGTTTACAATGTAGGGCTCTGATGTGGCGTCACATGCCAATGAAATACCCCATGAAGGCCTACACACCCTTTCTGGGGCCTGTATAGTTTGCAAAAGGTTGAGGGCAACGACATATTCTCAAAGTTCGGATACCCACCACGTACCCACCCCCCCAATGCGCGGTTTAGGGTTTAAGGTCTAGGGTTTACAGTTCAGGGTTTAGGGTAGGATGTCTAGTGCCCACCCCAATTTCTTATCTAAGCACGAAATGCTTCAAGCCAAATCCCAAGTTCTTTTTAACAGCGCGATTCTCCTTGGCACTTGCAACTATCGAAACCAGAAGCTACAATCTAGCAAGCTAAGAAACAGTAACAGGGAATAGTATATCAGCTGCGCCTGAAACCTTATCCCATAAATGTTAGATTCCCAAAATAGGGGACCTCAACATACACCCCAAAATACGATGGTCCGTATTCTGGGGACCCCAAAAAGGTACCCATGGTTTCAAGAAACCCCCAAAGTACTACACGCACAACTGAACCCCCAAATCTGTACGGGCGAACTCTAAATCAAAAACACCAAATTCCAAGTTCAAAGCCACGAACGTTTAGGGTTTAGGGTGCCCTGAAACCCCCAAATCCTATAGAATCACTAAACCCTACCCATATCCCCAATTACCTACAGCTTACAACTACCAGGCAGATGGGGCTACAGGTAAACCCTGAACCCCAATCCCCATAACCTCCTATAAGATCCCAGTCTCCATCTGATTTCCCATAATTGGAGGGGGGGGGCTAATATCTCTACCCCTAAATCATCCCTATACAGCCCAATCTACCTGGGTTACAAGTAAACCCAGGCCCATAATAACCACCCTGCATCACTGAACCTAAGTAATGAATTAGCTCCATCGTCTTTTCCATTTGCTTCTCCATGCTTCGCGTAATGACCCTAAATCCTAAGTAAGATCGTAACTTCCATTGTCTTTTCCAATTCCCCTACAACCCTAAACACCCTAAACAACCTGAGGCCTCTGAACCCTAAACCGTAAACCCTATATGGTAGTTGTTTAAAATACCTGTCCCCAAAAAGGCCATAGTGTAGGTTCCCTGTTTGGTTAGGATCCCCTTTTAAGGAAGTGTATTCCCAATGGTCTCTCATTTACAAGGACCTTTAGAGCAACCCCTATTTGAGCCATTGTCTAAACTCCTAGTATCCGCCTTAATGACCCCTATAGTAATCCCCTATATAATCCCCTGTATAACCCCCCTTTAAGGAGTTTAGACCATAGCTCATATATCCCTGCTTTAAAGTCTAAACCTTCCGCCCTGGGGCGCTCAATGCCATCTCGTTCCCTCTCAGCCAATGCTTCGAATGCTGGCTCCTCCGCGTTTAGGGCTCAGGGCTTAGGGTTTAGGGGCCCTAAACCCTAAACCTTAAACCCTAAACCCTAGGGCTTAGGCTTTGGGGTTTAGGGTTAGGTTTTAGGGCTTAGGGCATATGGCCTTCGGGAAGTTGACGGGCTAGCGGCTTCTGGGTTCCGGGTGTAGGGGCTTTGAGTCGAGGTTTTAGGCTTTTTGAGTTTGGAGTGCAGGGTTTGCAGCTCAGGGGTTTTAGGGAAACATTGGGGTTATATAGGGGGCTATATAGGGTTATATAGGGTTCTATAGGGGTTATGTTGGAATAGTGGAAAAGAAAACGGAAACTACTATTTAGGGTTTAGGGTCTAGGTCCTAAGCCCTAAGCCCTAAACACCTAGACCCTACCATTTAGGGTTTAGGGGGGTTTGGGAGGGGGGTCTGCTGTTTGAGATGCTAAGCACCACGCGATCTTCATAGTAAGCGTGAAATAGGGTTTAGGGTTCAGGTTTAATGTTTTCCGGGTCGAGCAGTGGAAGGTAGCTTGTGCGACATCTATGCCGAGAAAGGCACAAAGGAATAGCTAAACCTCAAAACCCCCAAACCTAAGCCCTTAACCCTAAACCCTAAACCCACAACCCCAAACCTAAAACCACAGCACAAACGACTGAAGGTCCATGGCCTATTCCTTGAACGATCCCAAATGTGCATGCGCAACTCTTTCTCAGGGCCCTGCGTACCCTAAGCCATAAAAAGATGTAGAGCCTACGGGTTTCGAGATGCCGCCAACTTTCTCTGCCATGGGTTTTGAACGATCCCGCCTCCGCCTACGGAAGCTTTCCAGGAGACCCAACCTAGACTCGCCTAGTATATTCTAAACCCCAAGCACGAAACCCTACACCTTAATCTCGAAGCTCAGGACCTCAAATCGTAAACCCCAAAACCCTGAGCGGCATACCGATCATTTGCACCCTCAAAGCCTCAAAGCGAAAATTAGCTGCTTGCCATGAAATTCTTTCTAGCGGAGGCTCAGCTGTTGTTGTGTGGACTCGAGGTAGAGATATTACAAAACACTCATCTTGTCTAGAACAGTAGGTATACGCGACCCTAGAATATTACCTGGGAACAACTTGCACTTTGCCCTACTTTCTGCAAACTGCCGTTCAGTAAGGGCACTGGGCACTTGCAGAAAGAAGTTGCAACAGCAGGTCTGGGATCTCGGGTTTAGGGCTTCGGGTTCAGGGAAGCCCTAAACCCTAAACCCTAAATCCTAAACCCTAAACCCTAAACCCTGACCCAAGCTTGCCTCCTTGAAGTCCACGACGGCTTGGACAAAGAGGACCTAGGTTTCGCTCTCCAGCCCTCCTAACCCTAGGAAAACATAGTGTCCTCTCTAGAAAGACTGGGGTTTAGGGTTTAGGGTTTAGTGCATCACCCAAGAGACTGCAAAAACGTAGACATTCAGCTTGATGAGCACGACGGCCCAAAACCTGCTGGTGTGTACGGGCTTGGGGTTTATGGCCTAGCATAGCAGCTGAATCATTTGGAATAAGATGTTGGGGTAACGACTTTGAGGATATATAGTATAGTATTAGTAACTGCTCAATCGTCTGCATGAGCTTTGAGGGCTACAGCTTCACTTCTAAGTGGGAACATAAGCCTGCAAGAACAATCCCTAATCACTCATTCTCTGCTACCGTGGTGCTTGCTTCTCTATTGCTTGGTGGTTAAGTTTCCCTTTTGACCTTGCTAGACTTCACGAGTTAGTTGGGTTTCCGCAGATTATGGAACACTCCTCCTTGAGTCTTTGACACGCAATTCTCACGGAAATTGAGCGCTCTGACTTTAGCGTATGATTCAACGCTTCAATTACGGAGCAACCTGCTGCTGATATGGGAAATCCGGTCCTAAGCCCTAAACCCTGAACCCTAAACCCCAAACCTTGAACCCCTAAACCTTGAAACCCAAACCCTCAACATAGTTGGCTACCCGCAGTGGCAAAAGATCTTCTGCATCAAGCCCGGAAGCCGTAAAAACGGCCAAGTGAGCAAAACATGCTCCTTGTCTACCTGACCCTGGGGATCCAAGTATACAAGTTCTATCTACATTGGGCCTGAAAGTCTGTAAATATTACCCATGTTGAGCTATTTGGATACCTAGGGTGCACCCTGAAAGTATGCAGAATAATGGTCTTTGATGGTTGTTATTCTGGGTTTAGGGCTATTAGTTTACATACTCTGGGGGTTTAGGTACTCAAGCCGAAGCCTCAATTTAGAACGCTGAACCGTAAACCCTGAAGCCCAAGTATCAACCACCATGAAACGCATACCGCCTGCCTGAAATCTAACGATGGGGATTGAAATTGGTGTCCTTCCTCAACCCTAAACCCTAAACCCAGAAAGTACCTGCGGTTTTTCGTCTACCTCAGCAACCCCTTGCCTTTCCCAATCACCCGCTGACTCGAGTAGAAAATGAGGGAATGGATCCCAACAGTAATCCCTATATGTCCCCGACCATCATCCCTATACATCATCCACTCCCCCCTACCCTACCATGCTCTTTAGGCAGATGTTTTGGACTGGTTCAAGGCTTGGGGCTACACACATGGACTCAATAATTTTCTTGGATCATCGTGAAGAAGACATATCTTCAGTCTTACGCCTCTCAGTGTACGTGGTTGGCTGGTTGGTAAGTGCTGCGAGATTTGGAGGTTAAGCGGGCAACTTCTGATGTTCTACGTCTTTGGGGTTCAAAGTTCAGGGTTTAGGCTTAAGGGTGTGGCATGTTGCAAACCTGTCCAGGAAAGCGCACACTTGGATGCCTAGCCTATATCTAGGTGACAAAGATTTGTGGAGAAAACTGTGTTTGGAGACTCTTCGTGAAAATATCTTAGTGCACAAGAGCGCAAAACTGGCAAGAAAACTAGAACGCTGTAGGTACCTCAAAGAAAAGTGGAAAGCGTCCCTATCTCACTGCTAATCGTACGTGGATGGTTTGGAGCCCTCGTAAGTACCCAATTCCCCCAAGTACGTCCCAAGCATCCAAATACGACAGCGACCTAAACCCTAAAGCCTTTTGATTCTGGTAGGTTTATGGCTGAGGGTTTAGGGCTTAGGGATAAAGATTGAGGTTTAGGAGTTGCTGTAGCAAGTATGCTTGCCGCATTAAATTTGGAGGATACCTGCTCAATACCAAGGCCTTGTCCGTAAGAGCTGCATCACCGAACAACCTTTTCTAACCATAACGTAGACTTCCCAAAGGTGCATTGTGATGATGGCCTTCTGCCCGTTGTGTCAGTCTAGGTAGGTATATTACGAAGCACACGGTCTGGGGTTTGGAGTTGTCTACAATATCATTAATGAGGGCTTATGGGTGATTGCATTGCTATAACAGGGGTTTCCTGCCTAGCCGGAAAAAGTTCTGAATCAAATGCGGGCCACATTAGTATTAACGAATAAATTGAACCCAGAATCCTAAACCATTAATCTCAAACCATAAGCCCTCCAACGATGTTGAACCCAGAACCCTAAACCATTAACCCTAACCCTAAACCCTCCAACAATGTTGAACCCACAGCCCTAAACCATTAACACTAACCCCTAAACCCTCCAACAACGTTGAACCCAAAACCCAAAACCCTAAACCATTAACCCTAAACCCGAAACCCTCTAACAATGTTGTGTCTCCCTGGCGCCAGGTCGCAGTGACTTGAGCGTGTGGAAGATGGAGGTTATCAGCATTCGCAAGGCCTCTGGCAATCACGACCACCCAACCCCACCACAGGCTTTGGAATGTAGGGTTTAGGTTAGGGTTTAGGGTTTGATTAGGGTTTATGATTCAGGGCCTAGGGCGCGGCAGAAAGAACGAAAACAAAGAACAGTTTCCTGCTCTGTGCTGGTGATGGCACCACCTCACGCGCTCTAGCATTCACATAGGATGTAAACTACCAGGCTCGTGCCACTTCCCGCAGAATCTTAAGCATCACCCATGTGTTTGAAGTGGATACACCAGCAGTTGAAATGCCAACCTGCAATCAGCATGCCAGTCTTTTTCAGGGAGGGTGGGGGAGTGGATCCGTAAAGTGCTACCCAGCGAACTATCAATCGATAATTGCGAGTATACCCTACATGATACTAAGATCTTTAATATGATTTAAGATATATGCCCTACTTAAAGGGAGATTGGGCTTTCTCAGGATCTGAGCCCCCTAAATACCAATATGCAATCTTCACTCCCCTAGCCCTTTTGAAGCAGTAGCATGAAGGTGGCTGAGGCACATGTTTCGGGTTGGGGCATAAGGTTCAGGGTTCCGGGTTGAGGGTTCCGGGTTTAGGGTTCAGGGTTTCGGGCTCAGGGTTCAGGGTATCGGGTTTAGTGTAAACCCTAAACCCTAAAGCCTAATATGTCTGGGCTCTGGGAGAATAAGAGCATCATCCTCTGGCGCTGTTGCTTGCAGGCCTCTGAAATATGGCCATGTATGCAGAAAAGCCTCTTCACCGGGTTGCTGTTAAGGAACTAAAGTTAACCTACCAGAATATGGGTATGTATAGCAACTTCAACAAAGTTCCTTACATCCCTACAGCTTCCAGTTCATGTTCCATTTTCTTTCCCATTCTCCATCACAGGGGGATAATATCCCTAAACCCATAGGGCTTCCTTACATACTAACTTAACCCTAAACCCTAAACCCTAAACAGCAAGCCAGTTTGGGGAGTGGCAATTGGATGCTAACAAGGTGAAGTGCGGTTATGAAGCAGCTTTACCTGGGCCCCAAAAGTATGTAAAATAATGGCCTTTATGGCTATCATAATGGGCTTAGGGCTACTATTTTACATACTTCTGGGGTTTAGGCAAGTCGTTCTTCAGCTTCAAGTAGTTTAGGGCTTAGGGTTAGGGTTTGGGACTAGTGTTCTTGCGCGACAGGCCGTCGTTGTACAGGAGGCCTTTTGCAGCAGAAGCACAAGGAAACTCCGGAAAGCATTCAGGTCCAATAGCACGAATCTTCAAGCTCAAAAGCCTGCATCTAGGTTCCCCAGTAACCCCCTTAGTAAGGGTACCCTTTTTCCAAATATTCAGCTTTAATGAGGAGACCCCCAAAAAAAAAAGGGGAAAAAGGGGTACCACTGGGATACCTAGGGATTCTTGAAGCTGCAACAGCTTGAGGATCACCTCAAGCCCTAAACCCTAAAGGGTTTAGGGTTTAGGGTTTGGAGTTTAGGGCTTAGGGTTTGGAAGTTAGGGTTTAGGGTTTGGAGTTTAGGGTTTATGGTTTGGAGTTTAGGGTTTAGGGTTTGCAGTTTAGGGTTGAGCGTTAAACCCTAAACCGAGCCCTACAGTATAGCCCTACAGGATTCCAGAAACACAGCTCGACAGCCGCAACAAAAATAGCTACGACCTTCCCAGACCTCCCAGGTAAAGGGTTTAGGGTATAGCGTATAGGGTTTAGGGTGTATGGTTTGGGGTTTAGGGTTTCTCTTATGGTGATGGTGATGACCAAAAATGTCTAGCCATACACATGTGATTGCACCCTGTACTTTTGGGACTCAGAAGCCACGAGGATTTTCTTCTCATGACCGTATACTTACCTTTGGTTAGCTAGGAATGAAGAAATGGATCCTTATAGCAGTCCCCATATGACCCCATTTTAGTAGCTTCCATTTTCTTTTCCATTCCTTCATTCCTGGCTAACCATAAGTAAGTTGGGTACACCCTAAACGCTAAACTCTTGGGGTTTATAACCAAAGGGTAAGTATAGGCAAGGTCTAGAGTCTGGGTTACGGCTGAGGGCAGGGCATTGACGAACCGGAAAATTCGAATCAGTCGCATTGTACGGAGGATCCTGGCGCCGTTGGGTGTAGGGTCTACTGGGTTGCTGTTACGGAACTGAAGTAAATTCCCATAATAAGGAAACCCTACTATGTACTATCTACCCGCATTCTGGAAACTTAATTTGAGCTCATTAACTGCAACCCCGTCTAAGGTAGACATAGGAGGGTATGGAAAAGCGCGGGTAATATGGGACTGCTATACGGGCTCATTCCTTCATTCCTTGTTAACCAGAGGTACATGACTGGAAGTCGGAAGCGGGCCCAGGGACAGGTCTCCAAAATGCTGCGAAATCGTATGAGCTGTAGTCTAAACTGAAAACATCCAACATCCCCCTTAATTAATGACCCCTATAATCGTGCCCAGATAATCCGATATAGAACCCTTTTTGGGGAGTTTGGACTATGGCTCAAAAGGTTACTAGCTGTTGTGAATAATCATGCTAGCAAGTTCTTGGGGCTCTGCCGCACGTTTCATGGCGACCGCGAGAAAGGCATCCTACAGGGTTTAGCGTTTACATTTTAGGGTGGTTCCCCAGTAACCCCATAAGAACAAGGGTACCCTTTTTCCTAAGATTCAGTTTTAATAGGGAGAGAAAAAGGAGACTGCTGGGGTACCTAGTTACTTGGATGTCCAGGAGGACTTATGATAGGGATTACTATGAACTTTGTAAGCGGGGCTGGACTCTACTTACGACTCAGTTGTTGGCACCTCAGTTTATGATATCAAGCTAGCAATGAGAACTTGGGAGCACGCAAAGTCAGCAAAATGGCCGTGCTTTGCCCACGACTCACTAGCACCACAGCTCAGGAGCGTTCAAAAATTATTTGAGCTACAGTTTAAACTCCCAGTAACCCCCCTAATAACCCCTATAGTAGTCCCCTATAAAACCCCCTTTCAGGAGTTTAGACTATAGCTTATTTGAGAATGAAGACGAGCCTATCAGGGGAATGTCCAATGCCTTACAATGTTCTCTCAGCAGCCTACTAGATCTAAGTGGCAAGCACGCTTCACACGATGATCCCCAGCAATGCTGCTGCGTGTGCTGATCCTTACCCTTCTGCCTCCAGCAACAGTTATTACTACTGCAACTACTACTATTGCTTGTCACTTTCATATCCCCAAGCAATACGGTCAATACCAGAATATCTGCATGACCTCATGACATTAGGCTCCCATATCTCCAAGGGTTTGGGCAATTTGCACCACGCAGGACTTTGGTAACAACGGTATTCTTGCACACGTCTCCTCAAACAACATGTATTTTTGTCTTTGCCGGCCAAGGCTCTTCGTAAGGCGAATGATGCGAAAGGCTTTGAGAGCAGAGATATTGCTGTTGTTACCTAAGTCTCTGAGGAACGGGCTTCAGGGTCTAGGTTGCTGAGAGGTTGGAGGACCCACTCATACAGAGTTAAAATTTGCTCGCTGCTGGGTACAGTCGGGATAGAAAAAAAAACACTAGGATCCCTTGAACCCCCCCACCCTATAATAATGACTATAAGGGACAATAAGGATTGCAATGCTCAGCCCACATTACCCTTGGAAGTAAAAAGGTTCCTTTTTATAGAAAAATTAAGGAATCCCATACCTCAAAAAATGTAAAGGATCCCCAAACCCTATAATATCCCTATAATATCCCTACATAACCCTGTATCCCCCTTTAAAGGATCCCTAACACTGAGCCAGATTAGGGCCCTCTCATGTTTATAGTCCGCCTTAAGTAGATAGAATATGGCTTTGGGTGCATTATAATAAAGATCCCCATTTACCCCATATTCCATCTACTTATGGGGG